GGAAGCAGCGATGGAAGATGAAGATTCATGCACGCAGTTTGGAGGGATACTCGACTGAGTTATGCCCCTTGTTGAAAACAAGGCGTTCGAGAAAAACGTTGCTTCGATACTCAGCAAGAGTTAGGGTCTGAAGCACTATGCTTTGGTGAAACACAATGCAGTGATGGATAATAAATTCATTAAAGATCATTATCATCAGCCTTTTCCGATGCAATGCTGTGTGAAAGCCTCTAAGACTTTGCCATAAACTCTTTGTTTCTGCAACTAGCATCTATTTTGATCCACCGAACTGCTTCTGCCTACCTTGTCCTCGATTTGGATGGCTTCCTATGAACCGTCAACTCTCATATGGAACCCAATGTAATGCCTGTCTGGTCCAGCGATGATCAGCTGATTTTGCAATGCGTCCTGCCATTTGCAGTTTCATGCTCAGAATGACTCGTGCTCTTGCCTATTATCTGGTCTTTCAATTTCTTCTTGTTTCTGAAAACAGACCGACAGACTCGGTTTGGTTATGCACAGTGCACAAACATGGTTCTTCGAACGAGTACCGTCATTTCGGCCGATGAAACACAGATTGGCTGACTGATTTCAAAGGCCATTCCGCTGCTCGCAGCGATTGGTAGTGTGGAGCCTTAGGGCCAGAAACTTCGTCCTGGTCAGTCATTTGATTGACCATACTTTTGCGTTGTGTATAAATTTGCGTATTTTATTCTAACCGTTTACAGTACGACCATCAAAGCACGAACAAAAGACTCATTTTTTCTGTTTTTCCCAGCATAACCCTTGTCAGCTGCGCTGCGTGCTCTGCTGCTTATGAACATCTTCGGGACACAGGGTGCATTTTTGCATCCATAGGTTAACATTGGAAACACAACTGATCGAAAAGTTTTCTTTTCAGGCACAAGGCCAATTTTCAATCTTCCAAAAGTGCTCCATGCCGCTTTTGCAATTCTGTCCATCTCGCAGAGTCGATTTTCTCCTGACAAGGAAAATGGTAAGAGTGAAGTTGACTCATAGCAGCCCTATCTAACGTAGGTCTGAGGACGCCAGTCATTAATAAAACGTCATTAATTTGAGCAATTATAATGATCCAGCTGTGATCGATGTCAAATTTCGTACTCCGTTTTCCTTAACGTTAGCAATGCGCGGAAAATATTAGAGAAATTAAGGATTGTCCCTGAACATA